CCCGCAGAATCAAAATATACACGATTTGGTCGTCTACGAACTGGTGGTGGCCGGTACTCTGGATCTACATCAGGATCCGTTTGAAGATCATCAACTTCACTGTTAGCGGGATCTGCTGCAACTGCAACTGGTGCTGCAGCTATTGGGCGTGCAGTAACTGCTAAAGAGTTCTGTAAAATGCCAGGCGCAAATAAACCTAAAAATGTGTTTAGTGGCGATCCACCGTAAGCTGGATAAGCTGGTGCAACTGGATCTGAAAGTAATCCTCCACCTAAACCACCACCTAAACCACCAGTCAAGCCACCAAGTCCTAAAGTGCTAGCCAAACCACCACCATAACCATAGCCATAACCTCCACACCCACCACCATAGCCGCCACCATAACCACCACCATAACCACCACCATAACCACCACCGCCACCATAACTGTTTGGATACACATTATATACATTTAAGTCCCACAAGAAACGTCCTTGTTCCTTAGGCGCTGGCGTTGTGTTAGCATCATCAGCAGCGGGTGCATCTCGTCCATAGGGATAGCATGGATTTAAATACGGACGAAAACGACTAAGTTTTCTACGTTTAAGATGTAATGTTTTGGGTGATTCATCTACTGCTTCTTGATTATTGGCACCTGCGAATTTGGCATTTTCTGCGTCAGCTCTGCTGACACGGTATTTGCCACGCGTGTTGGCTGTTGACGCTTTGACGCTGGTACTCGTACTCTGTTCTGGTTTAGTATAACTACTGCTCAAAATATTGCTATTTGGTAAACGATTAGATATTTGTTGTACTTGTACGGGATTGCGGTAAGCATATGCTGCGCGACGTTTGGCGTAAAGATCGTCATAATAACTTTGAGAGACACAGATACTTATGCTCAGTACAAAAATCGTTATACACAGTAAAATGCGCAAGTTTGCACTGTGAGTCCTTAGAAGCATACTTTTACACATTTTTATTTAATAGCCGAGTTAAAGAACATTAAATACACTGAGATATATGTGCAGGATGCAGATAATTTTTTTTTCTACTTCACAATCAAATAATTTTTTTAAATACTCTTGGTTTTGCTTAATGGCTTTTCGTTTAGAAAATTTTCTCCTTTTTTCGAACCGTTTCGTTTGCAACTCTGATATGCACTAAACCTTGGCGTAGACAAACTTTGCAACTTATCACCTTCAGTTCCAATTGGTTTCATGCCATCTGCGTAGGGTTTCAGCACATCGCGAAAAATTGCCTAAATCTGCTGCATGTTTTTTGCTCGAAGTTTCCGTATCGTTCACTGGGCAACAACAATGCATTACGCCACTTTTGGTAGTTTTTCCCTTAAATGGTAGATAAAATTGCATAATTTTTCCATTTCGTTTCTATTAAACAATTTTTTTCTATTTTTTGCAATATTTTTCTTTCATTTATTTCAACTTTGATATGCTAATTTGATGGCTATGTGCGGCGGCATCATAGCATTAAAAGAGCAACCAGCAAAGGCCTGCCCACACATGTGCGAAGCCATCAAAACCGGGCTGACGTGCAGAATTAACGCTTGCATGTTGCTGCGGTACAATTTTGGCGCGGTTCACCTTAATTTTACGATTACGTCTATTTTTCTAGTCATAGCATCGAAAAGGTATACAAGACTTTGTGCGTTGACCTGTGACTAATTATGCTGCGTCGCTTCACTGTTTGTTTTTGGCGAGAAATATTGTTTTGACACCATTAAGAAATTATAAAATTTTTGGCAAATTGTGTATAAATGTGGGTCAGGTTCGCAAATGCAGTAATTAAGTTCTTTTCTTTGACAATGCTTTTTGGTAACCGGAAATACATATGATAGCAATAAATATTGTTAAAAATGGAAAGTGGATCATAATAACAACACTCCGCATATGGACATTCGTCAAATAATTTTCAGATACATAATAAAATTATTAGAAATTTCAATAGTTCTATTGTATTATCTTATTACCTTCAATAGCTTAAATTCGATAATAGCTAGAACTTCCTTCACAATTAATTTCAGCATTAAAATTGCCCTAACCTCGATTTTTTTGAACGTCAATGATTAATATCATCATAATCATAAAATCATAATCATTGATTATCCAATTCGTGATTTTCATTTAACAGCATTACTTCAGTGATATATCTCGAGCAAAACGTTCATCCATCATATGTTTACTTTAATGTTTACAATTTTACAACACTGATTACTTATTAAATGTTAAATGTATAAAAATTGTGAAAACTTACTAAAGAAGTGATGATATTTTCCACATCGCGTTTTCTTCACTGATGAGGCTCATTTTTCGCTTGGTAAGAATGTAAGCAGTAAATAATTTTCGAAAGATAGTTATTTTGCATCTATAAAAATTTACTTAACTTGGAATTTGGCTTGGAAGTGTGATAGTCCCGTACTTTTAATTTTGATAGTTACGTAATCACCTGGGATTACCAGGACGACCCCCGAGCACAAATCAAACAAGATGTAATGTTTAGGATTTACATAGCGAGACATTTTCCAAATGTGTAATTTCACATTTTGTTGACTTCGAAAAAATCTTTTTTTTTTCTACGTCTGTCTTCGATTAGACATTTAGTACTTTTTTACATTTGATTACTGAGATGCATAGAATAATTACAATCAACACCTAATTATTTCCGTTTTTCTGTGCTGCGATTTATTTTATAAGGTATTGAATTATGTCAACCGATCGAAAATTTCTAAGACGCTTCTGTCTCGTTAGCTCCTCTTGGGGAAGTATTATATCGTTGTTTGACTAAGTTAATGGATGTATTAAACAACTACAATTATTTGGACTGACACGCCTTCTTAGTCGTCCATCCTGAAGTTTTGAATTATTTGGACTGTTATCTTCTTTGTCAACAATCCAGAAGTTTCGAATATCTTTTCAACAAAGAACTTTATTTAATATTTTATTTAATATCATTAATGTGATTTAATTTTAATCACTGGTTGCAATAAACTTAAAAAATGAATCGCATTATTTATGTTTCGCTTATAGGTATAAGGATTTTATATTTTTAATTCTTTATATATAAGAATTAAATAAATTATTAACCGAAATTGTCAGACGTGCAAGATCATTCGGTTCATTGGTTTATCTATTACTACTAAAAGCTGAAATTGGAACTAAGAAAAGGTAATAATGAAAACTACCCGAAGTCTTTTTAAGAACTAAAAACATAACGTTAATGTTTGAATAATGTGAATAATATAAAAGTTTAAGAAATAATACAAGTGTAACAATATATACGTATGACAGGTTATTTGCAGAACATTTTTCAATTAAATCTATTCAAGGACTATTTAGAATATTGACTCATTTTTTTTGCCATGAATAACATTAGATACCAACCAGAACGAGTTGAGGCATTAATTATTTACCACAACGCGGTTTGGGTGACATATCTAGAATTTTACTTTGTGGTCTTTCTAAGTTATCCAGAATACCTTGTAGCTGCAATAACACGAATATCGCTTTGTTGTCGTTTATACAAAATAGTTTTTCAATTAATAAAATAATCCAATCTTTGCTAGAGGAACTTAATATGAATATATGCAAATAAAGTCAACAAATGAAGTGAACCGTGTTTTTACGATATAAAGTAACTATTTGGAATGAGCTTAAATTTTAAATGTATTTAAATATGAATTTGAGTGTTGAATATGAGATGTGACAAACTTAAACTATGGAGATATTACCTATTAACTACGGAAATACCAAATTTGCAAATTAAAGGTCTCAATGCAAAAATAAAATTATTGTTATGTTCCCAATTTAAGTTCCATAAGTGGAACTACTAGTATGTAGTAGTTTTGCATTAATTGAATTAAATAAATGATTGCCTCCTGTATTTAAGAAGACATTAGGTGAAACTCAAACCATTCCCAGATGCTACTCTTAAAATGTTTCAGGGCGGAGAGATGCAGAAAACATATGTATGCATCACATTTATTTCCCCCTCCGCTGTGCTACCACCGGACGTTTTGATGACCCGCATGGACCAGGTAGCACCTATTATTTCTATGGACACCCTAGTAAGTAAGACAGAGCTCATTGTTTGCTCATTTCACCTACCTGGAGACTTCCAAGACCTGGACTTCTTAACACTGAAAGGACTAGTGGACTACAGTGTAAAAAACAAGAAGCAACTCATCGTTGAAAGTGACGCTAATGCACACCACCGATTTGGGGCAGCACCAATATCAATAATAGAGGTGAGTGCCTATTTGAATTTTTTACAGGCAACAACCTAAATATTTTGAATACGGGCAATATGCCCACTTTTATAAACAAAATCAGGAAAGAGGTGTTAAACATCACCCTAACCACACAATTTATAAAATTTTTTATCAAAAACTAGAATGTTTCAGCAGAAACATCCATGTGTGATCATCGTCAGATAAGAATTTATATTGACTTTAATATGAAAGTAACGGAATCGGACAGGGTACCTAGGGCCACATAGTGGGATCTATATACAGACGAACTCAAGGCCAACTTAGGCAAAAATAAACATACGATAAACAACATTCATGATTTAGAAATAGCTGATGATGCTTTAAGCACAACTATTGTAAATTCCTATTGTAAAAGCAATGTCTTAAGAAATAGGGTGGTTTAATCCACTCTCGGCAATGCTGAAATAAAATAACTTACTGCAAAGGGATGCTCACAAGGGGGTGTTTTATCCCCACTCCTGTGGTCAATTGCAGTGGACGAAGTCTTGCATCGACTCAGTGCCAAACAGTTCGAGGCACAAGGCTATGCTGACGATAGCCATACTTGTTAGGGGTAAATATGAAGACTCGATCTCATACCGACTCCAACAAGTTCTGAATATTGTAGCTAGATGGTGTAGAGAAGTAGGATTAAATGTAAATCCTAAATAAACAAGTCTGGTTGTCTACCAAGAAAAGGAAAAGAGTGCTTTCTAATAACCCATTCCTGAGAAGAACTATCAGCTGTTAGTCAGGTAAAGTATCTGAGAATGATTCTGGCTGAAAAATTGTTTTGGCCTTCTCATGTAGACAACGTTATCCGAAGAACCAGAGAGGCATTATGGATCAGCAGAAACCTCATTGTTAAGCGCTGGGGCGTAAATCCTACACTCAGTCTCTGGATTTACACATCTATTGCTAGGTCAATTGTTACTTATGGGTTATCCATCTGGTACAAGAAAGCTCAGCAGAAGACTGTATTAGGCAAGCTACGTAAGCTGCAGAGATTAGCCGGCATAATGATAAGTGGAGCAATGAGAACTACCCCAACAGCAGCCCTAGAGGTTGTATTGAGGCTCCCCATACTTCACACTTCACATGCTAGCCAAAAAGGAAGCAATGACTTTTATAGCCAAGCTATACTTGACTTTTAATCAGTCAACAAGATTATTCGATAACTCCCTGATAGGTAGGGAAATGCAAAGAGTAGAAAAGAGACCGCGTGAACACTGCAAGGGTTACTGCAGTTCTTTCTGGTCATTGGTGTATGGAACCTACGCAGAAAAACTGCGTATTCCTCATAATTCTCACTGCAGAAGTTGTCCAAAGCCTTTTTTACTGTGAATACCCGGCTTTGGCGTCCAGAAGATATAGGTTATTAGGAAAATACTTCTGTGATGGTATGTCACAATGTTCATCGGTATATATGAAAGACTTATTAAATTATCTAAATTTGGCGGAATGGATTTAGTCTCTACTCTTCTATAATAGGGTTCTTGCGAGGGATGTAGTAGCAAAATGACGAAAAATTGCTAATTGATTAACTAACCAACCATATTTCCTTCTTGTGCTTAGTTCTGTAGTCAGATCCGAATGTCTCTTTTTTTAATTTAATCGAAATAAACATATACTTTTATATATTTCATTTAATTTATATAATCAATGTTATTTACTGTTTGAATTCAGTTTTTGACGCATTTTCCCTAATTTCAAAATTCAGTC